GGGAAAAAACCCCAGCCGGCAGCCACGCGGCTCCTCAGGGCATCGCTGCTGCTAGGGGAGCACTGGCTGTGCCCCTGAGCACCTCTCTCTGCCTCCAGGTTATGCTGCCCCGACAACATCCCCTGAGCCCCCGTGAGAAGGAGAAGGGCTAAGCCAGCCGTACCGGGGCACCGTGCCAGCGCCATGACCCACTCCCAGGTGTCCTCTGAGATCCACCACATCGTCTCCTCCGCCTTCCAGAGCGTAAGTTCCGTGGCAGGCACAGCCCCACAGCTGCTGAGGGGGATGGTGGGGCTGCACCCCCTGCCACTGCCCGGCTGGGCAAGGGGTGCCGTGGCACGGCCCTCCTGCCATGCTGCACCGTGGGGTGGTGCCCCATTGCATGGCTGTGGGGCAGGGCTGTGGCATGCTGGCAGAGCAGCGTGGCACCCGCCTCGTTGCATGGCCGTGGGGCAGGGCTGTGCCTCACAGCAGCCAGCCTGGGGCAGGCTGAGCCGACTGTGCCGGGGTGGTGGGTGCCCTTGAGGCAGGTGCTGCTGGGGCACGTTGGGCCGGGGCCGCCGGCTCTGCCGGTGCCGCTCACCTGCCCCAGCTGTGCACGGTGCCGGCAGTGCCAGCACCGCACAGCTTTTGTGTGGGTTCCTGGGGCTGCCTGGGAGCAGAGTTAATGATTAACCCTTTGCGTCGTGCTGTGCGACTGCCTGGTGCCATTGGGCAAGTCCCCATCGCCACGCACGTGACCGGGGATGGGACCTGCGGCCCCTTCCCTGTCGCTCCACCACCCATGGATTTCCTCCTGGGCTCCTGGGTAAGCCGCAGCCTCACCGGGCTGCCGGGCTGGCAGGTCTCTCATCGCCCCGGCACCCGGCCGAGGGCACCCGTCCCCACCTGTCCTGGGGCCGAAGCTGGGCCTGGCGGAGCCGCGGGCGAGGGAACATGCCAAGGCATGCAGGGACGTGGGGCATCGCCCCGGGATGGGGCACTGGCTTGGGAGCATCTCAGCCCCACTGACCCCTGACGGGGCTCTCTGGGCCGTGAGGACATGGGCACTCGGTCACGCTGGGCCGGGGATAAGGCGGATTTGGTGAGGGGGTCCTGGGCATCCCCATGGGCAGGGTCAGTGGGTGGGCACCAGGGACCAGAGGAGCCGGGCCGTGGGGGAGGCAGGGATGCGTGGCATGGTTGTTGGGATGTGCTGCCCGGCGTTGGCACGGGCAGCAGATGGGGAGTCCAAGGTCATTTCGGGGCTGGCAGGATCCTGGGGTCGGGGCACATAAGTTTGGGGGCTGGTGGGGGGCTGCCTTGCTGGGTGCCGCGGGAGCGGCTGGGGTGCTGCCGGGGCTGGAAGATGGAGACTGGTGGGTTCGCCGGGCGTAGCGCTGCAGGCACTGGGCCATGGCCAGAGGGTCTGGGAGGGCTGTGGGGTGTCGGAAGGGGGTCACGGGCCAGCAGAGGGGATGTGGTGGGAGCGGGGGGGATGTGAGCAGAGGATGTGGCCTGACACTGCTGTCGTCACGTGGTGGCCTTGATGCCGTAGGTGGTGGGTGTGAGGGGACGGCACGGTGTGCCTGTTCCCTGTCACCCCCACCGCGGTACCCCGTCCTGGGCAGGGCCTGGGGGCTTTGGGGTCACCGTGCGGTGGGGACAGGGGACCATGGCTCTGCCTGAAGGCACAACGTCTGGGCTGGGATGTGCCAGGCTGGGGGGTGGGGGCTGTGGCACAGCCCTGGCCAGGCACGTGCCATGGGGCACCAACTCAGGGTGCTGGGTTGTCCCCAGGGAGGCTGGCAGCCCCCACCCCCGCCGCCTCGGGGGGTCCTTT